CATCGAGGGCACAGATCTTTGGCGCTTCTGGGCCATCACCGCCGGGAGCCCCTCTTGCAGCCGGCGCTGAGGCCTGTCCACGATCCGACGGAGCTCCGGTCCCTCGCCTATCGCCGAGACTCTGGGTGTCGGCGCTGGCTCTACTCCCAGGAGTCCTCCACTCATCACCAGGACTCTGGATGTCGGCATGAACCCTATTACCCCCACCACCTCCTGAATGACGACCTGGGTTCGGAGAGACGTTCCCGCTATCGCGGATTGGCCTATCAAAACTCGGAGAGACGCTCCCGCTATCGCGGATTGGCCTCTCCCCCCTCGGTTGTCGACTCCGGACCTCAGATCCCCTATCGGGGACGGCAGCAGGCCTCGGGCTCCTATTCCTACCCGCATCCCTATTGGGGGAAATAGAAACGTCCCCCCTTGCGCGCGCGCGGGGACCACCCCTTGCACGCTCCGGTGGCGAATGCGACCTGTCAGGCAACCCCCGAACCCTCCTGCTCCTGCTGTCGGACCTCTCCCTAACGGGATAGATTGGATGCCTGTCTGCGCGAGAAGGATCGACCCTATCGGGCACATTCGGCAAAACATGATCAGGCAAAACAACGCCTCCGCCTGGTCTCACCGGCAGGCCAGTACCCCGGCCGTCACCTTCCCCTGGTGTAGGCGTCGGTGACCTGATCCTATGTCCTTGCCCCGCAAATGCATGGTAACCAACATTCCGTCTTTCTCTGGGTTGTGGAGGAGCTTCATTAATCTGCTGGACACCCTGAATAATGCCAGCAGCCTCGTCAAATTGACCCTCCATCTCAAAGAGCTGGGACATGATTCTGTTGTTCGCGGCGCTAAGGTTACGTACGTTACCATCGATAGCGCTGACTCTCCGCATAACACCTTCAAGTGTACTCCGGAATGTGCCGAGCTCTCGCCTAACGGCAGGCTGCACTTGGTCACTGCTGGCAGGAAGATTACGGATCTGTCCTTGGATGCCATCAACGACCCGATTCACAACTGCCGATCTCGCTTCATACTGTTCAACATGTGACTTCACGGTTTCAAACCTAGAAATGATGTCGTCATGATCCCGACGTTGACGTTGAATTCCTCGAGCCAGATCCTGCATCTTCCGATTGATCTCGTCAACAGCCTCATGCCAGTCCTGCGGGGAATCATGCCCTGATGGTCTATCGACCTCCTGAGAACCCCTTCCACTCTGCAGTCTAGACACTCGATTAACAAGACGAGTGTGCTCCTCTTTGACCCCCTCAATAGATTCAGAGGCCCACTTGGCAAATGTCTCGTGATCAAGGAGAGCTTTCTCGATCTTCAGGTTTAACTCCCTGAAATTTGCATCGACTACACTGCCGCTGGCCCTATCGGACGGATGCGCGACAGGGTTCGGGTTCCATACACCTGCCGGGGTCCGCATCCCAACGGCTTTCTCTACCGAGAACATCCGTTTCTCAAGCTTGTCCAAATCCTTAAGGGTCTCGTCCTCAGAAGCAGCATGGCTTCTGCGGGCAGCCTCACTATTCTCCTGAATCATCAGGCGAAGCCGATCAGTCGATGCCTCATTGTCCCTGACAGATTCATGGACCTCGTGGGACAGTAGGTTAATCCTCTGCTCCACGACCTCGGCTTGCTCATCGATGGCTTGCCTCACAATGGCCTTGCTATCGGGAATAACTTCCCTTGCGAACCGTTGAACTATCATTCGCATCCTCCCGGCATCAGATTGAGTCGCAACCTCAGCTGCCAGGCGATCGACCTTGTCCTTCGTCCGTTGACTCTCGTCGCTCCATTCCCTTCGCATGGAACTCACCTGACCGTTCAGTACCCTGATTTGGTCAGCAAAGATGTGGAACGCCTTCGCGACTGAGCCAGAAACCTCACCTCTCTCGAGCATCTCCTGGATGTGCAAATCGAACACCTCCTTCGCCCTAGCGTCACCTGATTCGCCGGAAGACTGGGATCTGAGGGCGGGAGGAGTCGATATCTCGATCCTCTCAGGAGCCCCACTAGCCCCGGCATGTCTTCTGGGGTCATCCACGGGACAATCATCAATCCTGGATGGTCTACTCGGGGTAGATCCCCTTCTCCGGCTATCGCCAGATCGAGGATCAATGTTGGATGCACGCGACTCGGGGGTGGAGTGGATGTGAACATCAGCGGGATCGGGCATCTCCTCATCCTGCGGAGTTGAATCCATTGGTGAGGGGCTAGCCCTCCTCGCCTTTGACCTATCGGTCTCAGCGGCGAGAGGTGACGGTCTCTTCGCAGAAACACTACGTTCCCTGGCAGTCGAACCCCATTGAGGTGTGAACTCGTTGCTAGACCTCAGAGTTTCAAGATCACTGGTATCTCGCCCTAACGGGCTAGCGATCGACGGACGATCTTCGATCCCGAGTGCATCGGCAAGCCGACCATCTCTGGCACCTGTCCTAACAACATCGGCAGCCCGCTCAGTGATCCTCGGTGAACCAGTAACCCGGTTCGAGTTCACGTCTCTCTGACTCAACGGACCTCCAAATGTGATGTTGGGAAAGGGGGGAACATTCGGGGAATCACCAATCGCCGGGGGACCTACCGGTCCCTCGCGGTCATGAATGGCCTCCAATCCCCGAAGAACTTCCCGACTGTCCCTGGCTCTCTCTCTCTCGCTTCGGGCATCCCTGTCAACGCGAAGGTCCCTGGCGGCTCCACGAGAGAGGCTCCTGGGCCTCGCAGCATCACGGATCCTAGCATTTCGTCGTGGTTGGTCCTCCTCCTCATCACGGCGATCCGCAAATGCGGCATACTCGTCATCATCATCGACCTCAAACTTGGCAGCGGCGGGACTAGTCCTTGCAGTCTCACGGCTGCCTGCATCTCGGCGCGAATGGCTCTCCTCCTCATCCGCAAAATTGTAATCTTCGCCATCATAAGACTCAGATTTGGCAGTATTAGGGTTGGGCCTACCGGCATCAGATCCCTGCTTCGAGCTACTGCCCCAACCTGCGGTTGATTTCAACAGATCATCGTATCCGAAGTCCGTGAATTTCCGTTTCTCGTGCTCACCAAACTGACCTGGATTTTGAGAACCAGTGGATCGGCCCGGGATACCTCCCGGAGCCAGAACCATAGTCCCTGGTCCCTGCGGCCTATTCTCAAACTCATCCGAGACCTGCGACTCACCTGGAACAAGAGATCTCGGAGGTCGAATCGGCATGGCCTCCGGGTCATCCGAATGAGGGCGGGCCATGTCCATCGCCATGCTGATGAAGTCAAAACGTCCACGCCTGTGACCTGATTCAGAGCCACTCCTACCGGAGTAAACCCTTCGTGTCTGCTCGTCATCAGTGGCCTGGCGGAAAATACGATCGTCTCCATCGTCGGCGTACCTGCCACGGCTCCTGGGTGTATCCCTACCGGGATCTTCACCCCTGCGGTCCTGACCTGTTGAACCTGCTTCGAAATCCTCGTAGTCATAGTCCGGCAGGTCCTCACCTGAGCGGAGGCCACCTAGGATGGCCTCCTCATCCACGACACTCCTGCGAGATCGTGGGGTCGACATAGAGCTTGTAGTTGATGGTCTCAAGCGCGTAGGAAAGTCCTACGGCTGATAACCTGTGATTCGGGCACGAGCCTGTGCCCAGGCAATGGGTAAGTTGGGGTAAACAAGCCACAAAAGAAAGGTTCCCCAAAAGCAAACCAATCCCCGGTCCCAAAGATCAGGGTTTCCCACACACCAGAGAACAACAACCAAAGGAAAACAAACCAAACAAGAAAAGGGTTAACCCGCAACCTTGGTCGACAACAGGCCGCACGACTGGTCCCTACCAACCTGGCGGCGGCCCGAGGTCTCTTTCTCCCCCGAGATGCCGTCGGTCGACGCAGGGGTTCGGCGACGCCCATTCGAGGCGCGACGGAACCCAAAACTTGAGCCAAAACACCACAGGTCGGTCACTAACGCGACGTTCCTGATGATGATATGAACCATGGCTAATCACAATAACTAATCTTCCGAATGGACAATCAGGAACTCGGGCATCCCATTTGGGCTTATGCGCTCCCGAAAGCAAGCACCGAACCAGCAACACTTCGGATTGGATTTCTGCCCGAAGGCAAGCAACGAAACCCTAGGTGCCAAGGTATGCTCCTCAGGAAAGAGCTGGGGCTGCGCGGGTTTTAGTCTTTCTGCCCAGGGTGCCAATTTTTGAGCCACAGCCAACTGGCTGTCAGAAGATGTTGCCCTGCACCTCGCACCTGCTTTTGAACCATGTTGTGCAGCACTCCACCACAAGCACAGCCAGGTCCGGCGTTCCAAACAAGTCCATGAAAGAATAAATACGTGCGGCATGCTCCTGCAGCCAAACCTCACTTGCCGAGTGGATGGCCCAAAAAAAGTCCAAACTTTACATTTACCACTAAAATGGTCTTCCCAAAGAGTTTACAGTTCAGGAACTCAGGAAGTGAGTACACAATGGTTTTACACCCCCACACGATTCCTGGTGGTTTGACACTGGACATCTTGGCGGCTGGCCCTTGCTGGTGCAAAAAAACATGGTGCCAGAGGCCCAGAAAAAAAAACAAAACCGGCGATGCCTGAAACGCTCGCGGACACCCAGTCGCTTTCACGTTTGTCCACGGGGGGGTTCGTATTTTGCGGGACTCCCCAACTTATGTTTGGGGTCTCAACATCTCCCCAAAAAACGCCGCCCAAGCCATATTGATCGGACCAGGCAAGCAATAAGCTGACAACAATTGGGGTTTGTCTTGAGATAGGGATCTGACCTCCAAAATGCCAACTGTTTCTTTCTTTGGCTTCCCAAAGCAAAACGGATACCAAGCCACAAACAAAAAGACACACCCGGTCAGTTTAGAGGGTAAAGTTCGCCACCATTTCAATTCGTGGACCCGTCCAAGGGGAGGCGGGAAAAACTCTTCGTCCCCGACCCTGGGAAAGTCACTTGTGGTCGGAATGTTGTCGGTCCACCTGCGCCCCCTGACTGCCTTCGAGCTTCATTGGTGCGCTCCGGCTTGCCAGTGGCCTGGTCTCCGAAGCGCTCCTCGCGTCCGATTTGGCCAGCAAAGGGCCGCACAAGTTAGCCTCGCACCCAAGTAACACACTGTGGATGGAGGAAATCCTGCACCACCTAAGAAACCTTGGGAATGATGATTCCCCTGTAAATACCAACAAACAATGGCCACATTGGTTCTTGGGTGGTGCAGGATGTTGTCCATCCACAGCAAGGAACCTGACGTTTCGGGGTCCTGGTTCGGACCATATTCATTTGAAGGGATCCCCAAACGTCAGGGTCGGTGGGAGGCTGAGGGCTGAGCGTAGAGCCTATGTCGGTGTGTGTGTGTGTGGGTTTGTTTGAGGCTTTGAGGGCACCCTTTTCACCTGGTGTTTTTTTGGCTAAAAGGATGGGGGTGTGGGTACGCCAAAAATACAAGTCCTGTCATGCTCATAGAATCATGTAAATAAGTTAATACTTGTTCGACCCATGATAGTGCAGGCCAGCAGAGCTTTCAAAACAAGCCGCCCTGCACTTTGCAACAGGCAAATGGTGGAATATGGAAATACTTGTCGACAAAAGCATCCTTCTGACGTGCGACCGTGTGCTTACTGCCAAGGTCAAAAACCGGGCAACAAGCCACGGAGTCGCAAGCAGCAAAGTCCAACTGGCGTCCTTGTACTTGTCGTTTGGAAAGCCTTTGGCGTTGTGCAACTTGGAAAGCTGCCCAAGGAAGGATTCTCCCGTTGACACATACCAAAATGACCCAGAATTAGATAGAGCAAGACTGAGTCCATGCAGCCTGGGCGAAGGGCTCGGTTCATTTCCTGCCTGTTTGGATGCGCCGCTCGATTTGCAAATCGAAGCCTAGCGTGATCTATCAGGTTGCCATGACCGAGGCTGGCTGCCAGGTTAGCAACAGGCGGCAACAGGCTGATTCTTTATTCGCTTTGGGCATGGCTGGCGCAGGCCATCATGTGGGAAACGAACGGAACAAACAACTAGACAGGCATCACAACACGAATGCGCATACCCACGTGAGACAGTTAAACATATGATGTATGCGATTTTCAGCATCCAACAAATGTTGGGAGCCAACTGAAGAAGAAATGCACAAACCTTACCATGGTTGTGGAACAAAAACCATTGTGACACCAAAGCGGGTCATCAGCATGACTACTTTGTGACTTTTGAAGAACCTTCCCCTTTGTATTACAGGAAATGCCAACCTACGCAGGAAGTGGATGACAACTTATACAACCTATGAAAACATCAGGTTTTCCATTGCTTGTGGAAATGACAACCTCCATATACACAGACACATATTCCACAAGCATGGAACCCACCCACGGAGTGCCAGTCCCCAGACCGCCCAAATTGACCATAGGATGAGGGAAGGTTCTGGAAGGACCAACTGCCTCTTAAAGGGACCCCTGTGGTGTTCATGGGGAGGATATTTCGATCGACAGAAACTTAAAGGCTCCTTCTGAAACTCCAACCTCTGCCACTCACACACCGGCGGTGGGCAAATGATCAGGATCTTCGCTAGCGGACATCGCTCCCGGATGATGGAGACAATGTCTCTCCTTGGGCCAACGGGCGCCCGAAAAGGGAGGCAGCTCCTTTGCATGCTCACCCTGAGGTCTTGCAAGGAAAAACTCTCGGTTTCTTCGGGAAATTCGCAATGTGGCCCCTGGTTTCGGTCACCACGTAGCCTTTGGGTTGATGGTTTGGGGAGCCAGTAGGTACCTTAGGTACCTAAATCAGACCTAAAGAATCCGTTGAGATACCAGGTTAGTCTTGAACAATGACAAGTAGCAAAACAGCACAAACAGTATGAGCTGCTACAAGATTACACTTTTGGAACAAGGACTAAACATGCTCCAAAGATGAAGCAACGAGGGGCCTGCGAGTGTGAAAACTGGATGGCTCAACACCCCCCCCCCCTCCCGCTAGGCGAACAAAAAGCAACTGTTCAACATTTAGTGAGCAGAAAACATTCCCCACTAGTTAAAGTCCTATAGATCTACCCTGTCCACGTTTGCTATGGACAAGTCCTGGGACCACATCGTCAGGTTCGATTTCTCGAGTTTGGTCAGAGGCTCAGGTTGGACTTGTACTCTTCCAATGGTACCTGGCCGCATGTGCCCCTGCATCTCTCTCTCTCTCTCAATGTTCGATGTACCTTTGAAACCAAACTTTGGGGGTTGTACCCAAATCTGATTATGACATCTAATAGCACCAGCAAATAACTCACAACAGCCCTTGAAACTGGAACGCAACCTGATGCTACAACCGTCCCTTTCAGCGAAGGTATAAAGCTGCTTTCCATCCAAAACGCGTCATAAATCCGCCGGATTTGCACTTTCCCTTTGGCTTCAAAACCAGAGAGCCAGAGTGATCGATCTGGGCACATATTGAGACTTCTCCCCCTCCAGCACCGCATCGTTGGCGCCCAGCAGCAACGTCACCACCCGCGTCGCCGCGTCCGCGCTGTCGCCGGGAAATCCTCCGGGGCTCGGCAAAAAGCGCGTGTCGCTCCACGCGGCCACCGATGTGCTGGTTCAAGGAAAGGGTTTTAACAATAACAGCTCCTCTCGTTTCAGGGTGATTTGAGTGGTTCGGATTTGGATTTGAAGCCCTGGTTCTTCAGGGTAAATGGGAAACCCGGAACAGCTCTACACCACGGATTCGGCTCCAAATCACCAGGAGGGCAGCTGAGACTGTAGTAACCCCCAAACATGTGACAGGTTTGGGCAATCGGCTCAGCGACGGTGTTGCCAATAAGTATGCGTACCAACTTGCCACATCCAAGCAGAACGACCAAGTCGCTTTTGACCTGCAAGGCTGGCCGCACAACCCATGATGACTTCACTCAGAAGCCACAAATCGAAATCCAACAAAATGTGTCCCCCGAAGTTGTCCTGTCCCACTCTCAGACAATACCATGTTGGTACTGCCCACACAAACCCCCCTTCTCCAAGAAAACGAAGAAACACAACTGAAACTCAATAAAAACAGCTATTGCCAATATGACTCCCTTCTATAGCTCCCAAGATTGCCCTTGATCACAAGAAATAAAACTACCGCTAGCCAGAACTGGCAAACGTATTCCTAGTTGTGAAAAAGTCAAGGTTTGACAAGCTCATAAAGCACACACACACACACCGGAGCCAGCAACAAAAAAAACATGACCCTTTTACTTCCTGATGCAGTCCTGTTGGCCGGACAGGAAGTGGAGAAGCCAAGGAAGGCTGGAAAAAAATGAAGGCGGCAAAGGCATCCAGAGACGAAACCAATACGAACAAAGACTCTCCCCCTCAAAGTTTGTGTTGATCTCATTCTATGTAGCTTATTTTGTATTGCTTACATGGCCAGATATATGTATCAGCAAAAATCATATGTAAAGATTGTTTGATTTCATGGTATGTAGCTTATTCTGCTCACATCTTGGCCAGATTTTATCCGCATAACTAACTTGTGTTGGTTCTTGTGCAGTCTTCGTGCTTGTCCACGGCTCACTCAGCCGTGGCAGGGTTCAGTCAGTGCCAGCCTCAGTCACAAGCCAAGGTCAGTTCTACAACTCACTTATGGGCATGCTCCGGCCTTAGCTGTTGCAGGTAAGAATATGCTCCGGTCATTAACTCCTTGGGAGGTGGGCAACCGTCATATTTTCACATGCTCCTCAATATGGCTGTGGGTCAAAAATGCGTACCCAAAATGGAACCCTGACAAATGGTCATAAAAACTAAAACCTGCGGTCCCCCTGGTGGGTCTATTTTGATCAACCCGCCGCCGGGCCTCCGCCGGAACGGAGGAGCTGCAGCACCCACCGGGAGTTGTAGCCTCCAAAAAACCGATCGATCTCCGGGCTCCCAGCGCTGCGCAGCTCTTCGGTTTCTTTGGGCTGCCGGAAGGTTCCTTTTGACGGGTGGCGGTCCGCTTGCTTTTTGAAAGGTAGCCCTGGTTGAGGTTGGGTTAACATTGGAAAACACTTTCTTTGGAAGGTACCCCTGGTTGAGGTTGGGTTAACGTTGGAAACCAAAAGGGCACGACCCATTTTTTGGGGGGTATGTGACAAACCCACACGGATCAAAGGGATTCCAAGTGTGCACTTGAGTCGCCTCCCATGGGCAGAGCCTCGATTTTCTCAGGCTGACATCGGGCTTGACCCGAAACCTGCAGACTCTGACCCATTTCATGGGCCCCATCAATTCCTTCACCAAGTGCAAAGGACCAAAGGACCCGGGCAGAAAAGGAAAGTGGCTCACACTGATCTGCGAACAGCTTGCGGCAAACCAACCCCAACTGTCTAGGGTAACATTATTTCCAGGAACCCTTCTTTTCAGAACCTGCTTTGGCAAAGGCCTGGATGTTTTGACCAAACGTTGGATGAAGCCCAAAGGCAAAGGGGCTGGATTTGTACAAAACGTGCTGAACCATCAGGCAAAGGAATCGCGCTCTTTGCAGACTACCTGGGATTAAAACTTCCATTTGCTTAAGCTCCCTCGGAGAAAAACAAATACTTCCAGTGGTGATCGATTCCTTTTAAAACCAACAGGGGAAACACACACACACACATTCAAACAATAAGAATAATAATAACAATAACAATAATAATAATAGAAGTATAATAGTAATAATAATAATAATAATAATAATAATAATAATAATAATAATAATAATAATAATAATAATAATAAATATATACATATAAACCTTTTCTTACACAACTGGATTAAAACGAATGGGAACTCCGCCTTTGGGGAAGAAAAAAACGTCGCACCACGGCACCGCTGTAGCCCCGGTTCAGCACGTCGCAGCGGCGCTGGTAGGCGTCCGCCAACGCGGCGCCCCAGCCGTTGGGCGCAAAGGACCTCTTGAAAAAAAGGAAGAAAGAAACACTATGGTTGTCTAGGTCCTCCAGTAGAGAGGTTAGAATAAGGGTACCCTTTTTTCTGTAGTCTATTTTAGTAGGGAACCTTCCCCCAACAAAGGGGTAAAAGAGCACTACTGGGGGACCTAGTTATTGTATGCCAGCTGCATTATGTGCATTATATGGGTGCTTTTTAAGTTGGTTCAGGACCTGGGACAAATTATCTTCCAGACTTGATTCGCGCGGAAAACAACACACACACACAAGTGCAAGCAATGTCAACATCCTTGGTTGCTGTTGACCCCTCTGCAAAAAGTGAACAATTGTTTGTGGGTTTAGTGGACAACCCAACTTGATCTCAATCAACAAGTTAAAGCCTAAAGATGCAACCTAGCAGTCAAGCAAAGAAAGGCCTTTTCGGGTGTGCCTTTCTTTCAGGGAACTTCCCCCCCCCAAAAAAAAAACAAACAAGCAAACAACAAAAACAAACCATTTATCAAACTTCTGTTTTCCTGTGGGTCTCCCTTTAACACCACCTCAAAAGGGGACTCGTAACAAAAGGACAGAGCCATTTTGGGAGAACCTATGGAAAGGCTTACGGGGAGTGTCAACCCCCCCCCAGTTTGCAACAAAAATGAGCGCGCTGTCAGGCGAAAAGGCCGAGGGTAGCCACAAGCACTGGAGACCAGTTAGGCTAGCAAAGGAATCCTCCATTGTTCAAAGGTTTCGGATGGCAAAGTGAGTGAAGGAACCAACATCGCCTCGCCGTGCCTGGTTGGAAGCGGCAACCAAGCAACCTTTCCAAAAAGGCAGTATGGGTGGGTGGGGGGAGCATTGCAGTCCAGTCACCAAGCAACAAATCCAAACTCAAAATTTCCTGCCAACACTCCTGCTACTCCACGTGTTTGTGATGCAATCTCGTTTTGGATGCTGCAGTCCCATGACACGTTCACAAAGCGTTTGCCTCAGGGCAAAGAAGCGATCTAAGCTCAGCACCCTGCAACTAGTGTTTGACCTGCTTGCTCGCCACACATTGGAACATCTCGGAGTTGAAATGCTGTTGATGGGCACCAAAGCCATACAACTCTAAGAAAAAGCGCTTGCCCATGTGTCACACCAAGCTCGGACTTGTCAAGCACACCAAATCAAAGCTGGGTGCCCAAGAATCCTTGCCCCAAGAGAGTGCACAACTGATTGCTGCACAAAAACAAGCACGCATTGCAAACAGAGTTGAATCAAAAACCTCGGGCCAACCAAAGAGCAGCCGAACAAACCAGGTCTGGGGTGAATGGGCTGCGCAGAATTCAGCACCAACAATCAAGCAAAATAATATGTGACCCAACTAGCAATCAAGCACCACGTGCTCCTTGCAACCAGAGGCTCCAGTACCCTGAAGGGCTGTTGCTGGTTTGGAGTAGTTATGCCTCCTTGGAGGCTGTTACCTTGCAATACTTGCATGGTTAAAGCTAGGCTCGGTTATAAATGGTATGCTCTGCTGGTTTCACCTCAAACATGGCAACATCATTCTATGAACGATTGACCCAGTAAGCACCCTCACGGATTCCGGGGTTCTCTACACATCTTCCATTTGCTTGAGACTGGTCAAAGTATTCACACGCTTCCAGTCATAGATTCCCTTTCCGATCAGGAGGAGCATTAAATCATCTTTGTTAGCAAATGGAAGGAATGACCCTGAAAAACACTCCTTCAGGCAAACCGCCGGGAGCTCCCAAAAAATGTCCCTGTAAAAAACGCACCACTACTTTTTTTTGGTCGGGGCCCTGGGAGCTTCCATGTTAGTCAGTCTGGGGGGAGGGTGGCTTTCCCCTCCACCTGTTTCGTCCCAAAACGGTTCACTCTAAGCCCTTTGAGCGCCAGTTTAGCTTCCATTTGCTGCTACGCCCCCTGGAATCCATGAACATATAAAACAACATCCAGTAGTCAGACCTGTTAAAACCAAAATGGACAATAATTAGACAATATTCTGAAGCAAACGGAAGTCAGCTACAGCGCATCCAGCGGATTTCGGTTGGACCGCCGAAACAAAAACAAGGTGACGTCTGGATGTAATATAAGGGCCTAAAGAAGCGAACACATCAGCATAAAACAGCTCCTTCCGCTTGGCGCCCGTTCCGCATTTAGGATATATGATCCTCACATTCTGTATAGAGAATCCTTGTGACATGTTGTTGGATAGCTTTCCCCTCAGCACCTATTCCCATTTTCTGGGGCACCCTCCAAAACGAAAGCGCGCCAAACCCATTGGCAGTCTCTTTTTTTGAGGGTACCCCTTTTTTGGGATGCTTCAAAAGGGAAGCAACACGAACACACACACACACACACACACACCCACCCACCCACCCACCCACCCACCCACCCACCCACCCACCCACCCACCCACCCACCCACCCACCCACCCACGCGCGCGCGCGCGCACGCACGCACGCACGCACGCACGCACGCACGCACGCACGCACGCACGCACGCACGCACGCACGCACGCACGCACGCACGCACGCCGCACGCACGCACGCACGCACGCACGCACGCACGCACGCACGCACGCACGCACGCACGCACGCACGCACGCACGCACGCACGCACGCACGCACGCACGCACGCACGCACGCACGCACGCACGCACGCACGCACGCACGCACGCACGCACGCACGCACGCACGCACGCACGCGCGACTTTTGAGGCTACCCCATTTTGGGACACACACATATGGCCATGGGTCCAAATCTCGTACCCCCAGTGAACATCCCAATCCCCATTAAAATAGACTACAATGGGTGGCGCACCTACCCCCAAATGGTACCATCGGGTTTGACCCACAGCCATATCCACGTGGGGCCCTTATCCTTGGATCCCAAGTCCCCAAGCCGCCGCTTCCGGCTTCCGGCTTTTGGGCTGGGTGGCTGCTGGGTGAGGGAGTCCCCCAGCAGAATGACCCGCGGCCGCAGGCCGCAGAAGCGCTTGGGGCTTGGCTCGGCCATGCCTGCGGCTGTGGGTGGCGGTGGGGAGGTGGAAGGTGGGAGGGGTGGGCGAAGGATGGAGAATGGGACATCATCTTGTGGGAACTTCCTTTTGGAGTTCCTCGTTTTGTTTGGGAAGCCCAAACAATCCACCACCACCACTGCCACCTTATGCCACTACTGCCACTGCTGCCACTACTGCCACTGCTACTACGATCTTGGTTGCACGGAAGCGCACAAGAGGCTTGCCCGCTGGGCCCGCTTCATGTAGCACCCAAGCCTTCAAGACTTCCATCTGGGCGGTCGCTATTGTAACAGTGCATTGTACAGCTTGATTTGACAGTAAGCTAAACAGAACCCGCACCATTTGTGGCGTCCCTGCTGTTTTGATACATGAACACATCTCTAGTTGTACTTACTTCATGCACAAAGGGAACGAATGGTTCTTCGGTTGCATAGGGGGCAGCGCATCTAAAAAGCGATCTGAGCACTGGGAACCAGCCCTAAAGGCGGTTGCTTCAAGGAAGCTGAGGCTACAGCAGTCGGCCCCTTGGCCAGTAGCATGAGTGAGAGTGATCGATATATACATATATACATATATACATATATGCATATATACAAATATACATATATACATATATACATATATACATATATACATATATGCATATATACATATATACATATATACATATATATATATATAGTCCTTGTCATTTTAACTCATATTGAGTTGTATTGGTCTGCATTTGGCATCAGGCAATACTTGATGTGCAAAGAGGTAACCACAAGCAGCAGTCTCTCCGTTCCAAAGGAGCTGCGTCAACATCCGATGCCTTGCCGGAAAGGTGACTGCCACAACATCTGCTCAGTGGAAGCCTTGTCGGAAATGAACCTTCGGAATTCATGCACAGCTATCCACCATGACCCCCCGCTCCTCCCAACAAAAAAAGAAAGGAAGGAGCAGGCACACATTTCGCCTACGAGGTAAATAGCCGTGTGCTCCTTTCTACCTTTCATTGCTGTTTCTTAGTATTCTTTCCTTCATCTCTTGTCCATGTCCGCTTCTTCCCATCTGTAACTGTTGATGAAGGGAGTTGCGGCTCTCTGCATCTCTGTACCTCAGATGCGCGGCCAAGAGAACCAAAAAAAACAAGAAAGGGCATCCTTCTTTTGGGTTGGTCGACTTTTGGATGGGAACCCTTCCCAAAAAAACGCAAACAGGGCACTGGGCCACTGGGTACCCATCTCCCGAGGGGCTCCTGGCCTCCGATCCCACCGGATCCCACTCCGAAATCGGCCACCGGTCGATGGCTGCGGTGAAGGTTCGGAGCAAAATCCGTGGCTGCCCGAAGGAGCAGTCAGCTTCGGAGGGTACAAACGCATGCCATTTTGAAGGAACACCCCAGTCTAAAATGTCAGCGGGGTTGATCCCGGTTGAGACTCCATGACTGGAGGGTGGAAGGTGACATGAAGTCAACCAAGCGCCCGAGCAAGCAGACATGGTGCCCAGTTGAATTCGGAACGGTGTGCGCTCCACAATTACTTTGTGCAAGGGTAACTTAGCACTAATTATTCCCCAATCCGTAGGAATCTCGCCCGTGTGCATCGACAAAGCTGAAACAGATGTCACAGGGACAAAATGAACTTCTGTGCCTGCAACCAGCTTGAAAGTGCAGCTGAAAACTTCGCGGAACAGGGCATCTGACAGTTGAAGAGTTAATTTCCTTTGAGCGCAAGACTCCTGCACTTTTTCCATCACGGAGCATTTGCAAGAAACCTCACACGGCCATAGAGGCCCCCCCTTCATGGTGAACAATCTTGTGCGGCGCAGCATGTGCCTCAGCCGCCGCATGCTCCGCCGACTTCCGAGCTGTGCTCTTTGGCACTGCCTGTTGCGCCCGCGGAGCGCCCGGATGCGAACGCAACGGATGGGCGCTCTGTGGACTCAGCTGGGCGCCGTGCGCGCCGTGCGCGCCGTGCGCGCCGTGCGGGCCGTGCGCGCCATGCGCGCCGTGCGCGCCGTGCGCTCCGTGCGCAGGGGCGCTGTGAGGCGGCGTTTTGGCGGCGCCCGGTGAGCCGCGCAGCAGGCCCTGCTGGCGCATGAAGTCGGCCATGGGCACCAAACCCGCCTTGGTCCTCACCTCAGCCAGGGACCCCTCGGGTGAAAAATGTGAAGCGCCGAAACTGAGCCCCAAACAGAAAGGAAACTACGAGGAACTAAAGAAGAACATGAACAAATCATTTAAAGGGAAACCCGCAACCTTAAGACCCTAGAAGAGAAGCAAAACAGGTAAACTAGCTGACCCTGATAGAGAACCTGGTTTGCCACGCCATTTTTCTGGACGGAAGCTTTATTTGGATATGTTTCCCGGTTTTTTTCTGGCCGGTGGCCGTATTTGTTGAAGATGAGGCCGCAAATGACTGTATGGCCATTTATCGTGGCCGAAGTGGTGTGCACAGAAGCGGAAACATGGGGGGCACTTCAAAACGGGAGGGGTGCATCTTTGTGCAAAATGCATCTTTCTCTGCAACCGGTGATGCCAGTGTGGGTCATCCTTGTCCTTGATTTACTTTCTTGGCATCGCAGAAAGTAGCCCGAACCGCCAACCCCTTTGTGAACAACCCAACAAGAACCCATGGCCCCGCACAACCGGGGCGGACATGCATGCCTAATCATCAGTTGCCAAGAAGGTTAAACGCCCACCACCATGTCCTGACAGAACTCCTTGTGGCTCCTTCCCTCGCAAGCTCCGTAACAGCCCCCTTCCAACCACTAGTCCAACGCAGAAGCCTGCCATCATTTCCCAACAAACTCAAGGTCCAAGACCCCACCCAGCTGCGAGAAGCCTGACTGCTTGCTGTCTTGGAAAGAAAAAACGTCACAGCCGATGCGTGGCGTGAGCGCACATCCGGGTCACACAGAGCTGCCCAGAGTGAGAGAGCTCGCAGTTCACATTCAGACTGCCCATCTGGTGGCTCATTGCGCTCAGCCGCAAGATGGGCGGCACCAGCTCCTCGGAAGTTTGGCTCACTCCAGGTTTTGGCTCGTTTGCTTGTGGTTTGTGTGTGTGTGTGTTTGGATTGTTTGTCTTTCTTGCTGCTTTGCTTTGTTGTGCTTTGCCTGCTTTGTTCAGTTCTGGGCGGTCCGTGCTTTGTTTTGCTGTTAGATGCGAAGTGGCAGAAGTAGGGGCCCTCGTTGCATGATGAAGCCCCTGGAGCAGGCTAAATGGATTTGCGAGGGAGCTCAGCTGCACAGGGACAAAGTAAACTGAGAGTGGTCAATACATTGAGCTTGGTTGAAGCTCAAACGCGCCGGATCAGATGCGATTCACCGATTTTCAACCCTCTGCCGCGAAGCAATCTGCAGACCTTGGAAACAAAAACAAACAACGCATTGGCTCATGCACAGCCGCCTTCAAGAACAAATGAGTTCTCAATCATCTTTGGAATGATCCTGGGGAACAGCGCCGATCCGAAGGAAACTCATATCAGGTGAATCCTCTGGTAGGTTCCTTTGGAAGAAGTTTGCACCCCAACCTTTTCCCAACCCACTGAAATGACTCTGGTCATAAAACTGGGCTGCCCTCAGATCCCCCGCTAAAAGTTTAACTCTTAGTGGGTTAAATGGACATCCCCACTAAAAACTCAAACCCTATCAAGCTGAGGGGATGGCTGGGGGCCACCAAGAAAAAAACAAATCCCAACGATTTGATACCAACCGTCGGGAGGCAAAATTTCGTCCGAGGCGCCCCCTGTTGGCGCATCTTCAGAGTGAAGCTGGCAATGGCCTCGTCCACCGCGTTCGTCGTGGAAAGGGGCGTCTCCTGCATCGCCTCAAAGCAGCGCACGAAAGTGCACTCGAACAAACCCGTTGGCCTGGTGAAAACAAAGCGCCAACAAAAAAACAAACAAACTACAACTACTAAACTTGGCTTTACGAACCAGCCAAAGAGATAAGCAAGCACAAGCGAGCGGAGCGAAACAAACCAACAAACAAAACAACGAACCAACCGAACAAACAGGCGAGCAAACAAACCAACCAAACCACCAAACAAACAAGCCGTACCAAACCAAACCAAACCAAACCAAACCAAACCAACAAGCAAGCAAGCAAATCAAAGCAAAGCAAAGCAAAGCAAGCAAGCAAGCAAGAAAGCAAAACAATAATAAATAAACAAACAAACACATATAAAACAACAAAGCACACGAAGAAACAAAGCAAAGAAGCAAATTACAACTTCATATACGAGAAACACAGAAAGCCCGAAAATCGAAAACTGAAACAACAAACACAGAGACAAATATACAAAGATCAACGCAAATGAAGAACGAAACGAAGAAACATGCAAAACACACACACACACACACGCAAACACACACACAAACACAAACAGTGGCGGGGTCTGCATTGGGCCATGACGCGCACCAAAGGATAAAGGTGGCCGCTCCAGCGGTGCATGGAACCCATCCGTCGCAACCCAAAGGGGTCTCCAACTCACCGTGTTCAACGAAGGGGGGGAGGGGCCACCTTCGTATCCAGTGCGGCTGTTGGGCCGTGCCGAGTTTGCTCAGCCTACGGGAGCGGGGTCATGACCAGTGACCGATGACAAAGGACAGCGTGGCTTGCTTCCCCGTTGTCAACAAAACCGCCGGAGAAAAAACAACCTGGACCTTCGTCCTCCTGAAAAAAAACGCAGTATATTCGGGAAATCATAGCACTTTTTGCCGCAAAGACCTGAAAACCACACTATTGCACTGCTCGCGGCCTTTGACGGATTCCAGAAGCTTTGCAGGAGTAAACGACTTAGTGCAGCCCGCAAGTTTGTGAACACATGCGGCGGCGGTCCAAAGTTGTGCGGTGCAGAAAAAGCGTACCCATTTTGACCGCAAAACGCCCGCAAATTTCCGCAAATCTCCCACAAAAAACCCGCAAACTCCCGCAAATCAGAAAAAGTCGTAGTTTTGATGACCAAGGCATCCCATGGTGTTCACTGGCACGTTGGCAAGTGCTGCGAGGTGTATTTACTTTGTATGGCCAACGTGCGACTGGAAACGACGCAATTCGTATGTGTTTTTGCCCAAATTGTAGCTAAACCACTGGAATTCGGTAAATCGTAGGGGTCTCCTAAAACACCCAGAAATTTCCCGGAGTTTGAAGGTCCAGGAAAAACAAAAAAAACAGCTCCAGCTGTTTTCTGTGTCCCTTGCTTTCCCAGAAAGCAGACTTCCTGCACCGATTCCACAAGTCGCCCGTGGAAAACCGGTCGAAAACGCTCGACTCCGAACTCGGATTTTGGTCGCCTTGGCAGCCTCCCGCACGCAAAGGGTCAGCGCTTTCAGCTGGTCCTGGTATCTCCGAGCGTCCGCCTCCGGGCGGATGAGGCATCGAAAAGGAAGGACAACCAACCCAGAGCTTGGTCTTCATTCCAACCAAGATCTAGGTTTTCATATTTAGTGATGATCTTCCCTACCATCTTACATCCTTTGCCTCTTGTGCTTGGGATTTATATATATGTATATATATGCACTACTCCTCGTGCAACTGCCGTGACCCAGCGCACGCAACGCTGCACTTTTGCCGGGGTCACGTGTCTCCTGACGAAAAAGGCAAAGATTCGAGGCCCATCTTGGGCCTGGATCCCAAATTTCCCTGCTCACAGCCTCTGAGCTGGAGGAGTACGGGGTGGTGGTGGGAGCCGAAAACTCCGTTGACCCGAGAATCGTGCATGCTTACCCCTTTTGGATTAAACATGCACTACTCCTCGTGCAACTGCCGTGACCCAGCGCTGCACTTTTGCCGGGGTCACGTGCCTCCTGACCAAAAAGGCAAAGATTCGAGGCCCATCTTGGGCCTGGATCCCAAATTTCCCCGCTCACAGCCTCTGAGCTTTGCCCCCTCCTCGCCTGGAACCGAAATTTCCCCGCTCACAGCCTCTGAGCTTTGCCCCCTCCTCCACGCGTCCCCTGCTGGCTGACAGAGGCACAGAAAGCTTGTCGTGCAGCGCGAATGGCAGGAAGGGAGGTCGGAGGCAGGGCGAGGTTGGTAAACTCGTGAAGCCCTTGATCAAGATACAGGCGGGCAGTTGCAACGTGTTTCCAGCGCCCTTTTAACAGAAGCTCATCAAGCGTGGCCCCTTGCCGGTAGGCCGATGTGGCGCCACCACGTCGCAAGGAATACGGTAAGTAATTGGATTGCTCCAACTGAAGGGAGGCCACCACCTGCTTCCAAAGCTTCCGATACTTTGCAGAAGACTCAGTGACAAGGAAATCAGTAGGGGCTCGGCCCACGCACAAGCGCTCCAAAGATATAATCCCAGTCTTCTCAGCGATCAGCACTTTTTCCCATGGCATGTGGTTCCTTTGGCCGGTTTTGGTGTCTTCAAGAAAAATGATGGCAGCTTGGCCCTGACGTGCAGGAAGTACCACATGTTGCCGCCGCAGTTTGAACATCTCGCAGTGCGAAGGAAGCCACAAAAGCCAACAACAGTCAAGTAGGCTAGCCGCTCCCACCGCCATTGCAAAAACAGACCCGCAAAAGCAAGGCACATCTCTGGTGATAACGGGGTTGCTCTGATTGGCTGTTCCAACCGGCTCCATAGGCTCACCAAGCGCCAAGCCTCACTGATCTGTCTTTTGTGCTGCGGCAAAGTACTGAGCTGCTGCCAAGGCATAGCTTGCCATGGTCCTGGTGTCTCCATCTTCCCAGAGATGCTCAATGTAGTTCTTAAGAACCAAGTTCAGTTGCCCACCGTCTTGCAGCAGTGCTTGTCGTGAAACGCGTGCAAAGTTCACCAAGTCACCAAAAGCCTCTTGGCAGCGTGTCAGGGTAGTCTGTGAAACTCTTTTGTCCTCAAGCCGCCCTATCTGCCGTCTCTCCTCTCGCCTTGCCTCCTTTGTTGTCAAATACTTAATTGTCCTTCGGCTCATAGCGTCTGGACGGCTCATCCGCTGGGTTGAGCTTGGATGCGATCCAAGCCCAAAGAGGGTAGAGGTTCAAGGCGATGCAGAGGGCGGCAATCTTTCGCAAAATGCGATTCGCCTTGTGCTTCTGCACCTGCTGCAACTCGGCTCGGGCCGTCCTGTGCCGCTCTCTCAAAGTAGTCAAGGAGGCTGCCACTGGCGGTATCAGCTCCTGATGCCGAGCTGCTGACCAGTTCTGATCGGTCAAGCTTGTCTCGAGGGCTTTGAGTCTTTGCATCAGCAAGTCCCCCAGCTCTGCCAGCCTCCCATTCATCAGCAAATCTAAGCTGGTCCCCAAAGTCACGAGTTCTCTGTGGTTGCGCAGGCCGATGGACTGCATGGGGTGGACAGCCAGGATGACTTGATTGATGTACGCCATCACTTTGTGCTGGGCCCATCCGTCCTCGCTCGTGCCCTCGCCTGCTCGATCCGCTAGGTAGCGCTCGAGCTCCTTCATCCCGCTCTTCAGCAGGCGCCCGGGGTGTCGTTGACTTAGCCGCCACAGCTCGCCCTCCCCCCGGGAAGAGGGCTCGCAAAAACCCGACGACCGAGATGATTCTGGGCTCCGGCTGTCCCTCCTTCTCTTCCTAGTCCGGCTCCGTCCTCTTGATCGCTTCCTCCTTTCGCTGACGCTTCTGCTTCTTGCCTTCCTTCTCCCTTTTCTTTCTGCTTCCTTCCTTCGAGTTCCCTCCGTCTGTCTTCTGGCCCTCTCCTCGAGCAGTGCCCCTACAGACCCACGTCGGGACGCCTGGGGCACCACTTGAAGACGGCCCTCCTCGGTCCTTCGCTCTCGTCCTTCATAGTCAGCATCATCTGCTGCAGCCTCAGCCACTGCCTTGTCAATCCCCGAGGCATCAATGTCGCCACCTCTGGGGGGCAGCACTGGCTCTGGGACCCGCGGGGCGAAGTTCACGACATGCTCACGCATGCAAACCTCGGCAATACTTCTCAAGTACTCCACCTCTTTCATGAGGAGTGGGTTGATCATCCTCCATCTCTCGAGGTGAACAAGCTCACGTCGATCACCCCGATGGAGATGAACATTGCACCCTCGCCGGGCCCCACCGCGCCCTTCGACAGCTCGCTCTCGCCATAGTACTGGTAGTACCCATCGCTCGCTGCCAAGTGGTCCGCCTCCAGTAGGCCTTTCTCAGGGTCAGCCCAACCTCGAATCTTAACCACTGCTCGCCCTTGGCTGCGGCCCCTGGCATGGTAGCACTCGTATTCCAGGTAGGCCCCCTTCGACGTCAAGTTGTCCGCCGCTGAGCGCGCCCGGTCCTCGATTGCCCTCGCATCGATCCAGTCGAGGTCGCTGCCGATGAGGCCCAGGTCCAAACCGTAGTTCCAATCATCCGTAGTGCCTCCCTTGCGGGCCAAATCCGCCCGAAGCTCCTCCATCACGAGCTGGGGAGGGGGGTGTGCCCAGCAAGGCCGAGGAGGAAGCTCAAGCCCCTCCAGAAGGCTCAAACCTTCTTGGCCCAACCGCTCGCGACAGCACTGACCCCCCCCTCCCCCAGCTACCCCTCCCCGGCCTAGGCCACAGGGCCACTGGCCGGGTTTCTACCAGGAGGCCTGACTCCACGGGGAATCCTGGCCTCCCCCAAATGAAAAAGAAACCGACAACCAAACAAAAACCTGTCAGCCGAAAACTCCGTTGACCCGAGAATCGTGCATGCTTACCCCTTTTGGATTAAACATATATATCTTTTCTTTGCTCATTTCGTCGAGGGCAATGCAAGATGGTCCCAAACGTTGACCCAGAGAGGGTCCCTTGCTACCTAGGGAGGTACTGAACGAGCCCTTACGCCTTACCCCCCCCCAAAAGCCATCCTCATGAGCTACCCAGGGACCCTCTGGGAACAGGACACCCCAAAGCTGTCTGACAAAGATTGCTTCCAGTTGTTCGAAGGGAAACCTCGTCCTTCGCGGGAAACCTGTAGCTTGATTTGAGAGACTGGCTTGGCATCGTTTTGGGGGTGACTTCAACGCTTGGGTAAGTCAACCCATGAAACCGGAACGCCGAGACCTGGACAGCAACTTAAATGGCCAACACCAAGGGCCTCAGCAATTCAGTTGAGAAAGTGGTGCCAAAACGCTCAGATTTCAGGTCTCTTGGGGCTGTCCTTTGCACTCGGCAAGTCTGTGCGGCCCCAGCTATAATTAGCGCATGAAAGCTGCTTCGGAAGGGTTGCATTCGTTTCAAGGGAGCCATAAGAGGAGAGCCTCACCCGCTTTTGGGACACCTGGGAGCGATATGCTTGCACGTGAAGGGTCTGCTCTTGGCATGTCTTGAAATGCGGAAGGGACGAAAACACAAAATTCCCTAAAATGGCCAAGCCTGGTAACTTTCTATTCACCTGTTCAAGCGGTCCCGACAATTTCTAGGTCTGCCAGTGCTGGCGAGGAAAGGCGCTCCAAACAACAAGCTGCCGCCCTCAATCCTCGTTCGGCATCCAAAAAGGGAGTATGCAAAGGACCCCCTTTTAGATTTAGCAAGCGTGACGCTACCAGTTGGCTGCAGCTTTTTGACAGACTTCCCCTGCGGCCTGAAACAATGCGCAGTCAGTTCTCGTCGGGTGTATGTCGCGAGTCCTGGTTCCTAAATGTACGGCCAGCGAAGTGGTGAGGGTCCTTTTGGCTTCCTTTGGACCATCTCCTTGATTGCCAATGTGAAGGGGGGATACAAAACCATTTTTTGAACCTCCAACAAGGCACCTGCATTTGTTGCCGCGAAATCCCAGCTCCCGGCCTCTAGCTGGTCGTAGCTCTTCGCCTGCTCCGCCAGGGAGTTGTGGCGCCCCATCTCCTCCTGGAGTTTCGCCTGGGAAATGGAGGAAGCCCCAAACATACTTCACACACACCACCTCGTTCCCAACCCATCCTCAGCGACCGCGCTGTACAAAAGCCCGAAAAGAACTGGCCACTCCCACACTCCCACACTCCCAGGTCGGACCAGCGCAAGCAAAGGCTCGAGTACCTTTTGGAACCTCTGGCTGAATTGGTCCTCCCGAAGGCAATGAAATTCCAGTCCCTGAATGCGAACGAACAGGTACTGCAAGGGCCCCAATTCCTATGGAACTGTGGGGCACCGTAAAGCCAAATTCAGCCATGATCACAAGAAACATGCGTGTCATGATTCTGGCCCAAGTACTCTTGAGCAACAAACTCCTGCACCGGTTGGGATGAATACAGCCCCAAAATACTGGGATAAACCACCTAACTTAGGATTCTGTCCACAGCAGAAGCTGGACCCAGTGAGATATGGAAGGGTACCTCCCTCAACGCCCCATTGACGCATATGTTGTTTCTTGCGAAACTGATGTCCTCTTTTGCATGCCGAAGGGCAGCCTGCCTTCATTTTCGAGTGGAAGCAACGGCATACTCATTCCAAAACCTGAAATAAAGTACCTCGCAAGCAAAGGACCTACACGGCGAGCTCGTTTACACGCCGAATCGGTCATAGGCAAATCAGATGTATGGTAGCTGTAGGGAACGCAGGAAGCCAACCATTCCCTCATCCGCTTCTGGCTGAGGGGAGGTTCCCAATTCCCCCACCAAAAACAGCAAGAGCTTGGCCCATGTTTTTGCCTGCATCCAAGTCACCCACGTTCGGTGCTAGCAACCAATCCCTGACTTTGATACCCCCCAAACACGGAATCAAAACATGACCACAAGTAAAGAAACACAATTTGCAAAAACCCATAATTTTGACCACGGATAAATCAACCCCTGGTTGATTAATAGGGGAATGCCCCTTTTGCTGCGTTCTCAAACCACTTTTGGACCAAGAGGTCGGATGGGCTTAGTTTAGGGGTCGACATGATGCCCCTTGAAGGAACGCCAACCACCCCACCCCCACCCCCACCCCCACACCTCCACCCCACCCCACCACCCCACCCCCACTCCACCCGCGAAGCCATGCCTGGCCTGGAGGGCCCGCTGCTCCTCCATCTGGCCCTTCTTCAACTCCTCCGCAGTGCCCGTGCCCAGCCGCGCCGCCGCCACGCAGAGCCGCTCTTCCATGACCAGGGCCTCCCATCAAACAAGACATTTACTGGTTGGCTTGAGGTGGGTTTGGGGTTGGGTTTGGGTTTGGTTGGCTTGGCTTGGCTTGGGTTGGGGGGTTCGATGGTTGCCGGGTTGTTGTTTGTTCTCGCTGCATCTGTCACAACAAACGGGTGGAGCCACGCTTGTTGTGAGAACATCTTTCTTCTTCATGACCAGTGCCTGGGTGACCCGAGATGGGAGCACCTGGTCTTGTCGGAAGGTCTCCTCTTGACAGAAAAGGCTCTTCTTGTCAAGGTTACCCTCGCACCCTCTTCACATGGAACCTGATGTTCGAACGTCAGGTTCCATGTGAATTGGTCAGCAGAATTCAGAATCCACAAGGAAACAATGAAAGGCCCGCCCCCAACCATCTGGAAAAGTCTCCCAAATCTTCGTAGAAAGGAACGGGTTGGAAGAGTTCTAAGAACTCCCTCTTTTGGACGATAGGCAAATGGTTATCTTCCACTTGGCTACCCTTTAAAAACCATCAAAAAGGGGTACCTTTCCTCCCAACAAGACGATCCACCCGTATCCAAACATGGTTGGTCGTTTTCGGCGCAGATTCGGCGCGCGCCTTTAAATGCTCCTTGCGCCGAGCAATCTCCTCCTTGTGGTAGTTGCCTTGGCTCGTGCGAGCCTTCGACAGGTAAATGACCCGGTTCCAACCAGCTGAACATGTTTTCGGTCATTTTAGAAGGTTCATTCAATCATCTTCCCCAATAGCGGGAAGATCTTGCTTGGTTTTGCAATCGCCCCAAATTGCCTCCCCATTCTCTTCAACCATCGCATCTTTGTTCAGTCAAATCCGTTCTTTCCCTGGTTGCTGGTGGTTTTAAAACGAGGGTGGAACTAATGAGACCATTTCCCTCATCGTCCGCAGTCAATCGTCCATAATGTTGACCCCGGATTAATATGAGGGTGTTGTCTCCAAAAGTGACAAATCCCCCCACAACCAACATTAGTCATTTTCTATAGCGCAAAACATTCCAACTTTCGGCGCCTTCGGTCGGCTGGCACCAAATTGGGCGCCAACAGCTCATGCGGTGCGTCTTGTTTATTGAAGGGGTGGTGAACGCAAAGAGAACGATGTCGTTTTTGAGAGTACTTCAAAGGGCAAGCAAATTACCGAAATGACAACCTCCTTTTCAAAACAAGCACATTCAAACACACAACATCCACTTCAAAACAAACCATTCCGCCACAAGCAAGGCCACCACATCCTCCAAAAGGCCTCGACCGGCCGCCAAGTTCACCCCACGCGCCAAGTTCAACTTCTCGGACCCGAGCGGCTCTTCTCCTCCATACGTATCAAGTAGCTCCGCAAGGTCCCCAGCTCCTGAGGCACTCGCCTTTGGTGCCTTTGGGGTAGACCGGTGTACAGATTGTACCAATTTCGCTTCCACACATCAACGGGAACTGGAAAATCATGAATATATCTACGAGAATTGGGGCGTGGCTCCACTGGGAAGGGAAGTCAAAGCTCTTGATTTTGAGACCCCAGGTGAAAGTGCCTTGATCACCCTTGGCATCCTCAGGGAAAAGCGCAAAGCACTTGGCACTCGTCTAACAACTCAACTTGAAGCTGCGTAACCTGCTTGTCACTGCTTATCCTACTTGCTGGTGCTCAGTAGGGAATGACCCAGGGTTTGGGAATGAACCTACGGATTCCCTTAAAGCAAACCGTAGGGGATGGTTTATAGGGGTCATTCCCTGCCTATCGAACCAGCAATTCTATTTGCTTCGGTCCACTTTCTCAGCCTAGTATAATCCTTGGCCTCCTGCCCCGTTCAAACCCCGAACCCATTGGCCCCAATGCACATGCAGTGCTCCCATAAATCCGTGATTTCAACATCTTAAGGGTGACTGTGACAGGGTCTGAGCTGGCTTCGACTTTTTCCCAAGGAAAAAACACAACTTTATATCGTGGCTTTTGTGTGTGGTTGCATAGCCCCAAGAAACCCTGGGGGTACAAACCATCTTAGAAACAACATGCATCATCATCACAGACAGGAACAAAATGCATCCTCTATGGCCCAAGCACGGTGCCTTTGCTCCTCGGCGTTATAGGCTCAAAGGAACGGCATTCATCCTCTTTGGGCTCTACAAATATGCCAACCTGGGACAACCCTTGACGCTAACTGGGATGGCCGAAAAGACACCGAGTCAAGACTTTGTGGAAAGCCCAAACCAAATCGAAGGGGAGTTTGATACGGAACTTTCAAAAGGAAGTTCCCTAGTCCCTTTAAGACAAACCCACGTTGACCAAAGACAGCACATCTTCTCTTGCACTGAGCTTCTCCGCCTCCGTTCACCGACCGGTTGGTGAACATACACCGACAACTTGGTAATCTTACTTCTGACAATCCCAGTGGGGCACCCACAAAAGGTCTGAATCTATCATGGGGCGCCAGAACCCACGCCAAAACTCACCGTCTCTCGCACCATGGGCAGGGATTCCTCAAACCTTCACAGAAGTGGCCGGTTTTGGAGGGGCACTCCTTGTTCCATCAAAATGAAACAAGTTGTATCTGACCGAAGGGTGGCCTGCAAAACCGGGAGATAAAGAACATGTCTTTCCTGATTTGGTTCAAAGAGAGGGAACAAAGTCTACAGGCTCGCCCGGCAGCAACGAAGAGCATTGATTGCCCCATCGGGCCCAACCAAACTGAACCAAGGGGAATCCATGTAAACCACCTTAAAGCACACTCATCCACAGACCCCACCAAAGCCCTCCATGCTTAGTCCAAAAAGGAAAACCTTCAAACAAAACCTCAAGCCCTGAAAAAGTCAACACATGCAACCAACCCGGAAAATACCTTTGGACAACCAAACAAAACACAGGGAAAAAAAAACATCATTTTCTCACTTTCTCACGGGCTCATCCCGGCGTGGTGCTATTGCACGCGGCCGGCTGACGACTCTTTGAGTCACGATCTACGTTCTTCTCATCCACCGGAGCAGAGAGCTCGACGGTGGGGTCTGAATTCTGAGCAAAGCCACTGGGCCAGCTGGTGGCAAATAGCCGGCCCCTTGCGTTGTGCGGCGCAGCACTCCATGCGGGAGGTGCTGCCCAAGCCAAATCTCGACCGCCTCATGCCTGTTCTGAGGCCAAGGAACGCTGACACACTGGAGCCAGGCACAGAGAGTTTCACTTTCTGGCCGGGCAAAGGCAACCGTGTAGGAGATTCCTTGCTCGTCCCAAAGGGCGTTGAGGGCTGCTTTGAACCACTTGGTTCGTTGACGCAGCGTGCGTGGCACCAGGGTGGTGCCTTGGAGATTGGGCTCATGCCACAGTTTGCCATCACGTACCGGGCCTTGGAACCCGGTGGCCTGCTGGTAGGCAACGAGAAGCTGCATGTAAGATACCCATCTAATGGGCCCATCCTTCAAGCAATGTTTCCACCAAAGTGTCATGGTATCAATTACCCTCTGGCCGAGTCTACCATACGCCCGGTGCGGCGTCGGCAGCGGGTTACCCGGCACTACGAAAGCAACAACTGGTTGGGCCAATCTGGGCGGCCCTGGGGCTTGTTGACCCGGCTGGATTTGGAGAAACTTCATGGCAACTCTGACAAAATGAGCGTGCAGCTCAGCAATAACCAAGCGCTGGTGTTGCCTGGCTCCGGCACATGCACTACGGGCAAGGTGAAAGGCCTGGTCCCGATTGGCATTGGCCTGAACTGCTGCTTTGTCTGCGCAGGCGTTGTGATAGGCTGCCCATTCCTCGAGCGGTGAGGTATGGTCATTTTCACTGGTGTGTGCCGCAACTTTTGTAATTTTTATCCTAGCAAGTCCTAGCTTCTGGGCGGAGGCGGCTATGTCGGCCCACAGGTCACCGTCTCTTGCGTTGGCCCAACTGGGCTCGCTGCCGGCCAAAATGGCCTGCATTTTGCGGACGACGCCCAGGCAGTCAGACCAGATTTGAACCGGTCTGTGTGCCCGTATGGCCACTTCCAGGGCCTGCTTAACTGCATACGTCTCTGCTCGAGGCACGGTTTGGAGGAGTCCTGGCAGGGGTCCTTGAGTGACGATGTGGTTTTCCCAAATGTCGTGCTCGTGAACTGCGGTGACTGCCCAGGCAGCGTACCTGAGTACCGGGTCCTGCGGCGATTGCGCCGAGCCGTCCGTGAAAAGGTTCAAGGGGGCGCCAGATTCACTATGCGGAGCACGGTATTCGAAAGTGACTGGCTCAAGCAACCTTTTCATCCACCGGATTTGCTGCGGGGATATGGTGGCCCAACCCCGTTCACGAGTGCATTCATGCAGAAGCTCCAGGCTTCCGATGCCGGCCGGGATGGCCTGGCGTGAGGCCTGGGTTGCTGCACATTCCCAATGCCTATGATGCATGCTGTCGGGCTCTTGACAGAGCGGGCACTGCTCCGTTTGATTCGGATCGTACTTGTGCACCTTGTCATTCGCAAAGAAGGAGCCGTTGAGTACTAGCCTGAGGATGGCCTGGTCCGTGTCAGGAAATTTTCCCAGAACTGTTTTTGTGAGGCTGGCGTCAACTTGGCTCATGCCTGCAAACCCGGGTCGATGTTCTACCGAGGCACCGGCTTGGCGGTTCCACGCTAGTCGCATGCGCATATAAACGCTCTGCGCTGGATCATGTAGCAAGGAGAATTCACCAAGTTGGTCAACGACTTCACCCACTGGGCCGACCTCCCACTGAAAGGCAGCGAACCTCTCTACCAATACCCGGCTGGGTCCTGTGCGGGTACCCGTGGCAGCGGCCGCTGCCAGTGTGAGCGTGGCGAGTGTTTGTGGGTCGGCTTGTGCTCGGTATGTCCGCAGTGTGATCCAGGCAGCATGGAACTCCGGGTCATGACTGGGCTCCTCCAACACCCCAAGATGGATTTTGGGGTTGGCCCCTGGCTTCTTGGCTCCTAGTCCGCGCATAGCTCCGGTGCGGAGATGTTTGTAATTTTCCGGCCCAAGGTGACAAATGGAAATGCCATGCATAGCTCGAGGCCATGCAGCGGCTTTGATGGCCATGAGTTTGACTTTGTATGGACTGCAGCACTGGCGTAATTGAGCCCAGAGGGGTTTGAGCTTAGTGATTCTTTCTACAAGCGTGGCGTTGGTGGGCTGTCTGCTATACTGCACATGCCCTCCAAGGTCACGGGCCGCGAGCTTAAGGGATAAGCCCGTGCGTTTCACAATTTTCCTCCCCTGAGTATTGTTGGCCCAGATATAGGATTTATCCTGATCCAAATGCAAGTCATGGGCGTCGGCGAAGCTTTGAAGCACCCGGTATGCGGGCTGGACATTGCGGGCCTCGTGGGTCTGGACTTCCCAGTTGTCCACGTACGACAACATATTCACCCCTGGGGCATTGAGGCGCATGTGAGTTGCCAGGACCTGGTTCAAAAGGACCATGGCCAAGCAAGAGAGGGCACATCCCTCGGGGTACCCTGTCGTACCGTGTAGGGCAGGGCCTACTGAATTTCGGATTTTGAATCTCCTGGCCATAACAGAAGTGGCTCCGCTCCAGGCTCTAACGACTCCGGAGTCCAGCCCAGCGGCAATGGCTGCGGTGAAAACTGGCGTACGTGGCAAGCAGTTGAAACATTTTGTGATGTCCGCTACGAGACCGGCGACTTCCTGGCCGTTGGCACAAGCAAATTCAAGGCGGCTCTGCAGCTTCCACCATACGTCACCGGCGTGTTTTTTTGGCACGTTCCCAAAGATATTGGTATCAAGGATTGGCGCTATCGCCCGTATGCACTGGCGACATCGGATGCTGCCCCATAACCTATAGAGCAGGCTAAACACGGTGATTGGTCTGTAGGAGGCCGCACTATTCGGTGAGGATGTTTTCTCAAGTGCACTGACAATGCCTGTGACCAGTTGCGGTGGCCATTTGCCCGTGGTCTCGGCTTGGTGATACAATGCGAGAATGCCACGGACTATGTCAGATGGCAGGTTCAGCAGGTCCTCGCGGCGAACGCCGTCCGGACCTGCGGCTGCTTTGCGTGGCTTGCGCCTGACTTCAGCTCTCCACTGTTCCTCCGTGATAGGATCAAGGGGGTGTAGTTGGGGTGGGAAGCTGGCCCAGGCAAGTTCGGAGGCATGGTCCCAGGTGGACTGTGGCCAGGCGTCGTGCTTGGCCCATCGTGTTTGCCACTCGTTGGCAAAGGCTTGAAACATTTCATCAAGTTCGCCGACCATGGTTTCCTGGACGAGTTCGTCCCCAGGTTGGAGATCCTGTGTGGACTGGACCCAGATTTTGTCTTCGTCTAGGTGAATTACATCCAGAATTTTCCCCCGGGCCCTGATGGGCTTCGAGTGGCACAGTTTTCCCGCGGTTTCCAAGCACAGGGCACTTTCCTCATG